TATGAAGATTTCTGTCTTCTGGGTTGTTGCGCTGTGTAGTCTGGTCGATGTTTAACAACGTTTTAGAGGCCATACTGCCTCCGATGACAACGCCCTGATGACGGAGGCAGTATGACCTCTGAAACGTTGGTAAACATCGACCAGACTACACAGCGCAACAACCCAGAAGACAGAAATCTTCTAGATGGGTCATGTTTTTGTTGAGGTATGAATTGAATCCAAAATACCGCTCTCCCAAGTTTAATATCAAAACTCCTTTCTCTGACTGATTGCACTATGACCCCTTTCGATTTATACCCATGCTTAAATTTCCATATTTCTTTGTTCTCTGTTTCCGAAAGAATTATATTCTTTCCAACCGACATCTACCTGTCTCTCACTACTCCCCCACTTTTTTCTCTCTCACTCATTTTTTATTCAAGCTTATTTATGGTTTAAAACTTTAAAATTGCAATTGGCTGTACTTACTTTTGTATCGGAGCAGGTAACCGCCTTTTAGTTGCTTCACCATGCCTGAAACAAGTAAACGCAGTGGCCATGTTAAATCAACAACGTTATTAATTGTCCACATTCAGGAGGAAGTTTGCGTGAGTGTGTACACGTAAACACAAACAAAAGGATAGGTCAGTAAGTGGATGTGTTTCAGCGCGTCTATAAGTGCATGAATGATGTTTTGCCAATGCAACTAAACAGTACGTAACCTATATCAACAGTGCTTGAAACTTATTAAAATAAAATCTAATTCGTTTACGTCAGGATGTTATTAAAGTGTTCGTTTTCTATATTTTGTTTATTTGTAGTGTTCTGTCTGACGACAGGTCCATATATTATGAACAGGATCCTTCCAACCTCTTCAGGTTGTCAGGGACCTGCTCATACATATATACATTCTTGGCAGAGATGATCAGAAGTGGTTTGCCATTGCCTTCTTCTGTGTGTGAATGGAGTAATTGTTGGGATGCCATGGAGAAACCGGGGAAGCCCCCGGAGGAAAACTCCGTGTTGCCTAGACCACGGCCTTGCCCAACACAAGTTATAAATTTGAGCACCACCGGGAATTGAACCCGGGACCCCAGGCTTACAAGGCCAGCGTTCTAACCGCTAGACCACCGTGGCGGTTTTTCTATATATCTTGACTTAAAAATAATTTGAGGGTTCATACCTCAGACTGACAGGGCTCAAAATTTACTTTAGTTTTAGTATTGCACCATGTACGTCATTTATTCAACAATTTAAAACTCGAAGAAAAGTGGAATTCTCATTTGATGGAGCAATTCAGTGTTTCAGTCTCGCCTTCCGATGCCTTCGCCAAAAATACGACACGTTAGAGTAATCATTCCCATGAGATCTCTCCGTTTCGTTCCTAACAAACATCTCCAGCGTAGTTTATAAATGACTCACTCTATGGGACTGTTTCTTGTGTGAGGAACGGGTTTGTGCTTAAGTTGGAGACGAATGTGATCTCAGTATGACCGAGGGGATAAATTTGTTAATGAAGTTAAGACCTGTTGGACTGGGAGGGTTGTTGCAGGGTGGGTCATAATGAGGCAGGGAATATGGAACGCGTGGTTGTCCCTCATAAACTAATGCTAGTGTTTCCAAGGTGGCACTCCAGAGTCACTGGTTAATGTCACAGCTGATATCTATTTGTAAAGCTGGAACGACATTTTGTGCATATTCAGCTTGTTTGAATCGTTTGTTTAATTCTGTAACATAACTGCTTGGAGTAGAGGTCCTCTTGAAAAGCTAGCCATGTAGTCAAGAAATATCTTGCCTTTTTATGGAATCCCAAGATTTACTAAATTATATATAAGTTGATATAATTGCGTCATATTGTGAATTAAAATTTAATTATTCGTGTTTTTTCCGTCTAATCACAATTGTATATAAATAAAATTATACATAAGATATTAAAATATCATTTACATATTTGGTACAACTTTTTACTACATGTTTCGGTTATATTGAACGATCTTCAGGTGTAAAGTTAAATGTTAAAATTATAATCTTATAAACTAAAACTTAATTACTGTTGTTGTGTAACTTCTGATGATGTTTACTTCCAAATTAATTGGAGTGAGGGTATATTTTGAAGTGATAGTGGTTTAACATTGGCCTGTAACGTAAATAATTTAAAATATTTTTAATTATTATTGAACTTGAAAGAACGAGTATAGAAGACAAAATGTAATAAGGTAAAAATATAAATAAAAATGGAAGGTAAAATGTAAAAATGAAACATTTGCAATACAATTGTGATTAGACGGAAAAAACACGAATAATTAAATTATTTATACCGTCCAAGCAAATATCAATATTTCTCATTGGCAGTACATTATAGTTTGCCTCCTCAGTTCCTACGTCAGTGATGTGTCTGGTTTACGTGGTACATGCATTTGTTTTCTTTCTAGTGATGTAGGCAAAACGTACAGATTTGAGAAAAGAAAAGTCTATTGCAAAATTTGAGTGAGAAAACTGAATTCTCGTATCTGTTAAAGTTACGTGACTGTTAAAAGTATATGACGATGAAAATTGTCGGATTTACAGTCCATTGAATATTTCACATTACCGTCAGTCATATAGTAATTTAAAAAAAATATATTTTAAGGTTCGGACATTTCTTTATGAAGTTATATAAACGTTTAATATTTTTGTGTGTAGTTCTGTAAATTACTTTAAAATAATTTTAGTTATACTTCGATTGGATTTCTCTTTTGATCGAAGCTTTACTTCGCCCATTTCCATCTCATTGTGAACATTCTTACATTTTAGGCTTTCCAATTTTGTTTAAGATGTTATAACAAAAATCAGTACATTCCTTACAGACTAATTTTATTTCTGCATGTGGAAGTGACTGTGTGGGGAATCCCCAAGCTACCTCGGTTTTTATGGTTACATTACTTACTATGGAGCCCATGTACGGGGGAATTACCAGCCACTGAGGCAAATCTGACGTCATTAGGTTCATTCATAAAGAATAAGTGTCAAATTCTGGTGAAAGCGACAGGATTATTACGCTGTGCGTACGTTTTATAGTTTGTTATGCGCACCGAGAAAATGTTCTATTAATGTTATTGTTCCAGCCTCATGGTCGCGTTTATCCAGAACGTCAGTTCAGAGAAAATGTGTGGATATTTTTTGTTTTTTTAAGATATCAGCACTGAGGCCTTATAAAATATATTTTTATTATCTTCAGTTTTAATTCCATATTAAGTTATGATTCTTTTTTTGCAAAGGTATTAAGTGCTGACGTATGCAAACGTTTTGGTTTATAACTTTATGAATATGGACGTTTCGTTACACTCTGTTACATTTAGGAAATACAACTGTGCCCGTAAACAAATTAGGTATTAAATTTTTCGTCTGTTTTTATAAATCTCACCGCCCTGAGTAGTTTCAGTGCTGACGTATGCAAACGTTTTGGTTTATAACTTTATAAGTATGGACGTTTCGTTATACTCTGTTATATTTAGGAAATACAACTGTGCCCGTAAACAAATTAGGTATTAAATTTTTCGTTTGTTTTTAGAAATCTCACCGCCCTGAGTAGTTTCGCAGGACCCATGCGACGTTCGAGAAAGGCAAGCCAATGCAAAATACAGTTTTATTACAAGTGTTACGATTGGTTCTTGATTTATTTAACAACGTTTACGAAAGCATAAATGCCAGTGATTTTTTTTTTTTTTTGCGTGATGCAACATCAGAAGGCTTTATTTTTAGCTCCGATGTCAAATTGTCAGTGAAAATGCGCGCGCATCTCAGCGGGCCTGCGCAGAAAGCTTCTTGTGATATTGAAATAAAATAGAGGATTTGCGAATGAGAGCGCGTGTGGTGATTGTCACATTATATAACGTCGTATGGAACGATGGTTATGAATAATGATTTTGATTGGATGTTGAAATTTGAGTCTGTGGCATTTTTTTATTGCATCCCAGGTTCTTCCTGGAGTTACTGGGATAAAGCAGGAAGAATCTCAGTCAGACTGACTAGTCTATGGACCAAAGATCGAATTTATAAATTCCCCTTTTACGATGCGAATTCTTGTAACCTCATTAATTTTCGAATTACTTTTATTTATATTTAAGGTTTACATGCGTCATGTTTGAGTTTTTGATTAAAATATATAATAAAATTCAGGTCAATACACAAAGTTTATTTGGATGTTGAAATTTAAAATTTAAATGTTAAAATTTTAAATTTTAAATTTGCGCCATTCATCACTATAAGGATGTTACAATAGAGCGCTTTTATTTCTTTCACAACATGTTTCGATGTAATACATCATCTTCAGGTGTTGTTTTTTAATATAATATAAAATAGTTTTAAAAAACAACACCTGAAGATGATGTATTACATCGAAACATGTTGTGAAAGAAATAAAAGCGCTCTATTGTAACATCCCTATAGTGATGAATGGCGCAAATTTAAAATTTAAAATTTTAACATTTAAATTTTAAATTTTAACATCTAAATAAAGTTTTGTATATTGACCTGAATTTTATTATATATTTTAATCAAAAAACACAAACATGACGCATGTAAACCTTAAATCTGGTTATGTTCTGTACACATAACACTAGTTTAATTCAAATCCATTTGGCTGTTAATTTTTACCACTGTTTTAAAAAAATTATTTAATTTTGTTCCACCTGGTACTATATATATATTTTTCCGATGTCATACACGGAGAGACAAAAGCCCTTGATTCGTCCGTGCCAACATGAACACGCCTGCCACCTGTACAGTTGGTACGGGGAACTATTCCTTGAGGGTAAAGCTTACGGAGGCTGTAGCTGTCACCGTCATTAACTACCGATGTTAATAATCCGCTAAGAAAATTCTCCGCTTCTCCATACGTCTTTTTACAGATGTGCTTAATTGAGTACAGTTAAAAACTATATTTTTACAGAGGGGGTCCGTTCATACCCAGTTTATTAATTATAATTTATGCTCCCTTACCATTCTATCTAATCGTGTTCTATTACAAAAAAAATCTTAAAAGTTTAATACCTTAGTCATGTTAGTACGTCATATTGGCGTCTACTTATTTTGTAAAGAAGGCAGAATGTAATGAATGAAAGTCTTTAAAGTGCAGACTATAGTTACCTCAGCTGTAAGCCTTGAAGTCAGTCAGAACCTCATCTATCATCCTTAAAAGAACGAGCGAACCGAAAACCTTTGTCATGGCTCCTTCAGGGTTGTGCCTCACCTTTATGAATAAAATGTGTTTTGATCTCAAAGAAATAGGGCGTGAGGATGTGGACTGGATTAAACTGGCTCTAGATAGGGACCAGCTTTCGACTCTTCTGAGTATACGGTAGTGAATTTTCCGATTACATTAAAAGCGTGTCATTTGTTTTAGATTTGAGGTTCTCGCGGCGCGAGTATGAATATGGCCGTGTTCTGGGCTATAGCGCCGTTTAACGACGTTTCAGATATGCCTCCAAGTTTTCACCTCCATAAAAGTATTTTTATTGTCTATTTAACAATGCTGTCAGTAGCTCAGACGAAAA